TTCGCTTTGGTACTGGGATGAACTATCTTTAGGAGGAAAAAAATGACGACTTCATATCGTCGAGTTATATGAGTTATATTGTTTTTATAAAATTTTATAAATTTAAAATGACTCACAATTTTGTAGGCTGGTTACAAGGTATTCGTTTTACCAATTATGCCCCCTTTATTTTTTTGTTCGCTCCCTGACTGTGTGATTTCAAATTATATTTTCAGGTAAAATATTTTCTTGACCAAAATGATTAGATAATTTGTAGGATTTCATCTTGTTCTGAGGCAATTTTAGTATATAAATTAAGATTAAAAGTCTATATTAATATCTTTGAATTTAGGTCGACCAGTAAAAGACATATATCTCCGACTAAAAGGTGGTGTGTTTGAACTCCACATTCACATGTTATTTACTAAAAGAGATCTTATATTAATCAACTTTTTTTTCCCTTTTAACAAACATTCAAACAAATAAACTTAATTACATTCCTTTCAAATCAAATTAAACACACAAATAAACTTAATTACATTCCTTTAAAATCAAATTAAAGATCTTTTTAAAATCATTAATTCATTCAGCTTTCTTGATTTCAAACATGAGGATAAAAAATTCCAATCACATCTTTAAACTAACATGTATTATATTTTTATTTATGATTTTTATGATATATGTAAACTATCTGCCACATCATCATATTATTTGGGTCAAAACTTAGCTTAATTATATAATCCAAATCAAGTACCTTTTAGAGAGAGATCCTACCCATCACTGATAATAAAGGTCAATCATATCCTCTTTTTAAAAAATCATGGTACAACTATTTTAATTTTCCCACATGCAAAATGTACAATTTTATCTATATTTATTATTCATGGCGGTACCCTCCAAATCAAGTACTTTTCACAAATAATAAATAAAAACTTTCGATAATATACATATTTGTACACGAAATTGATACTCAAATGTCTCAAGTCGAAATTCACTCACAAGCGAGTTTGACATCTATATTTATAGGCAACTCACAATCGGTCATTGAATAAAAGCGATAGCCCCTCTAAAAATCGGGGTGTACTTCAAAGATCATGCGAGTATTAACTGTCCACGCGAGGTGGATATGGTGATAACCGCCTAGAGATATTACGTACATAACCACGTCCTGAGATCTTCTATTAGGATCCACTTAACTCTCGACGGTGCAGTTAGACAACCTTCTATAAAACTCGATGGCTGCTTGGAGCCAACTTTGTTCGATAATTCAATGTATAGCTCAGAAATGTATTGTCGAATTCCTCAAGATAGCAACACGTGTCCGGTTTGAAACTCATCCTTCATCAATATATAAAATAAAAATGATGGAATAGATGACAACTATATATATTTGATTTTGGGTATCAAATATTCCTTTGCCAAAGGAATCAGTTGAATAACTCACCCCATGTGACGAGGCATTACACCATGCAATTCCAATTATTGTCCTTTTTCTTTTTTTAATATTAAAAATGCTCCCATGTCTTGATCAAGATATTTAGTTTTTGTCCTTTTTTTTAACCCCTAAAATTCATCAATTAAATATCAAATTTAAAAGTAATATAATTGTCTTATCTATGGTTCATATTACGTCAAAAATTAGCTATTCAATCGAGGATTTTTAATAAAATATCATTTGAAAATGGTCATGGTTGTCCTGTTATTATTTAAAAAATATCTAGTTAAGAGATCCTTATTTTCTTTTGTTAGTTCAGTGTTGGAATTTGTTCAATATTTAATTATGAAATTGGGTAATATTTGAATATTTCTTCATTCTCTAGTTCTCTACCAAATAAGGAGTATCAATTGATCTCAACAGGTCTGCATCTCATATTTGAATTATATTCAGGTTGGTATCTCATATTTGAGTTACATGGTTAATTTTTTCAATTTTCTTTCCACAAATTTCCCCTTTTTCCTATTGATTTTCGTGTTTCTAAAAGCTAGAGATGAAAACTTCTTGGTAGAAAAGTGATTATTAAACACGAAGAAGAAGAATGGCCACACGATAATTTTATAAGAACCATTAAATCTCGATACTCCAATCCAAAATCGAATGCACGAAATCATGTCTCGAAGGTACGAAACTTAAAAATATATTATATTTCAAAAGCTTCAATAATCAAAGTCCACTTTTGACATTAAAATAAATGGTTGTTGTGATCATGATTCTATATATCCTTCGATACGTCGACATTTCCATCGACATATCCATGTTTCCACGAATTCGACATCGATATGAGAGGTAAATCGACATTTCCATCATAGTACAAGAAAATCGACAAAATATGAAAAATATTAACAAAATGTCCCTAATAAAAACATAATACTAATATTAATTATTTTTAGCTAATTTAAAAATAGAAAAATAATTATCTATCAATTTAAATATTTTTTACCATTTTTAAATTTTCTATCTTCCACGGAAATATCGACATTTATTAATTTAATTGCAGTGGCAGGCCGCAGGAAAAAAAGGCATTGGCTGTCGTTTAGCTTTTGAAAGTTGACAATATTTTGTGAATTATTTAAATTGGATTGCGATTTGTTTTTTATTATGTTCATCTTTTTGCTTCAATATATGAAACACCAACGTGAAATTTTTTGGTCAAATACAACCAAGATCCATATTTTACATATTTTATATATGCAATGCACTGGATCCAGAAATTTTGTTGAGGGAGACATCATACTAATTTGCAAATAAATCATTCGCAAATATGTTATACAAATTTGGTCTTGGATATTACAATTATAATCAGTAATTCTAATTTGATCAAGTCTATTACGTTTTGTAAATTCTAATTTTTATATATTAAAAATAATAGTTCAGTCGAGTTTGATAACTATTTCGTTAAAATATGCTTGTTTTCTCATAATTTATCTGGCACATTTTTATTTTTCTTAAAAATACATACTATTTTTAGTTTTCAAATTTTGGCTTAGATTTTGAAAATACTTTCAAAAAACATATGCAACACAAAATAATACATTGATGGTCTAACCGTTTAATTTTCAAAAATAAAAAACCAAAAACAAAAGCGCGTTAGTTATAGAATTAGGTTTTTATGTCTTAGAAATTCATGAACTTATGTCTAACAGGTCCTTCAACTTGGCGTAAGATTTTAACTTTTAATATTAGCTTTTTCTTTAGAAAATGAAAAGGAGGAAACACTTTTTTGTGATTTTTGTAAATGTTATGTATACAAATATATATATATATATATATATATATATATAGTTGTTTCCTTACCAATATTTCTATGAATTTCAAGACTCTAGTCATTTTTTAACATATTGCTAACATAATTATACTTTATCAATATTTATTGACATCTCTACCAATTAAGATCTTGACATGTTTGTGTCAATATCGACCTTGAAATCATTGTTCATATATAAAGAGAAGTTTGAATGACCTGAGCGAAGAGAGTTCATCTCATCTTAAAAATAAATTAGGATAAGATAACGACCTTTTTACTAATCTCGTATGGTTGTTATTTCTAAAAAGAACATGTAATCTTCAGAATAAGAAAGATTAAGCTTTAAGAATTAAATTAGAGAGAGTAAAAATCTTCGCTATAGAGATGTTGACTTTGTTTTGGGCTATCTTGTGAAGGAGGGAAAGAGTTCCGTAAATGATAAGGATTTTATTTTTCTTTACAAATTTGAAATTATATCTATTAAGATGGATTTTTTTTAACTTTTAATTTTGCATTTCATCGTTGAATTCTAAAAGATTAAAAGTTAAATTTTGTTCTTCGATCCCTTAAATTTGTGGCTAATATAGGTCAGTTCTAACTTTATTAGTTAGAAGTTAAAAGTTACATGTTCGGTCTCTTAATTTATAAGGTTAAGTTTAAATAGATTCTTTTAAATTTTGTGTCTAATAGGTCAATTCTAACTTTATTAGTTAAATACTTGTGTGGTATGATATACTCTGTAATTTTCAAATTACATGGATGCAACGTGACAAGTTTAACTTGCAATGTAAATAAGTCAAAACGATCATAACTCAGCGGTAATTGGTATGTACCTCCAACCAACCAGAGGTTCTAAGTTCGAATCTCCTCCCCAACATGTTGTACTAAACCAAATTTGTAAGCTTTTTCCTAAAACAAAAAAAAATAAAAATAATCAACAAGGAGTTGAGAAAATTTGAAATAAGGGATAAGCAATTATTGAATGACTCAATACAAACATTAAGGCCATTTTTCCAAAAGAATAAACTATATTTTAACAAGTCATTGAATATTAATTATTGACATGATGGTAATCTTATAGCACAATACACTCTCCCCCACAGTAATTTTGGTCCCCTACAAAGCTAGCATCGTCCCACAAAAAAGATATATATATATTTGAAAATGCAGCCACAATATGATTAATAGTTTTAAATCATTAAACATATCAAACAGAAGTTAAAAAAGAATCTATATCCAATAATTATAAAAAAGATTATAAAAAGCAGTCATATTGTATCAATTTCATTCCATGCGAGTTCTATTTCTTATCATATTGTATGAAATACTTGACTTCTCACGAGTCAAGAGATTCAAAGAGATTCAAAGATCAATTTTATTCTAAATTATTATTGAAAAATTGACAATTCATTATTTTTTTTTAAGAATAAAATTTGCTTCATTATCGATAAGGAGCAACTTTGTCCTTACCATCCTTGAATATTTGACAATTCATTATATTTTAAAATAAAATTTTGTTTTTGCATTTGTTTCTCTTGTCAAATATTTAACGATGGTGAGGACAATATTATTAAATTTTATCCTTTTTTTTTTTGAATCATTGTTTAACATTTTACTCTTTCAATTGTCAAACATTTGATACCGGATCCGATTAAGAAGCAAACTAATCTTCATATTTTATTAAAATATCCCCTCTCTCACTATTTTATTGAGAGTGATAGGGGAAAAGGGAAAAAAGGGTGGGATTTAAATAAGAATGCTAGCCCCCATGTCTCCAATTCCAAAGGAACCCCACAGAATAAACACCAAAAACTCCATTTTTTTGCACACAAACACTTCTCTTCTTCTTCTTCTCTCACTGTTCAACGAAATATCTGGTAGAGAGAGAGAGATACTTGTTCAGAAAATACTCAAAAATCCCACAAAAACATTTCCCTGAGATTGAAGAAGAAGACTGAAAAGGGGAAAAATGAAGATTCGTTGTGATGTTTGCGACATTGAAGAAGCCTCTGTTTTTTGCCCCTCCGACGAAGCCGCCCTCTGCGCCGCCTGTGACCGCCAAGTCCACCGCGCGAACAAGCTCGCCGGCAAGCACAGCCGCTTCTCTCTCATCCCATTCGCCGACGCCGCCGAATTACCGCCGCCGTGCGATATTTGCCAACTCCGGCGAGCTGTTCTGTTCTGTAAAGAAGACAGAGCAATCCTCTGCAGCGAATGCGACATTCCGATCCACGAAGCCAACGAACACACGCGGAATCACGGCCGGTTTCTCCTCACCGGAGTGAAGATTTTGCCGGCGACGGCGTCCTCCACCGGCGCCGGCCGGGTTGAAGGGGCAGCCATTGATGCTGAAAAAATTGGGTTCTCCAGGGCCTCGAGAAAGAGGGCTAAAATTGGGTCTAATGGGTTGCTTCGAGATCCCCTAATGGAGGAATTTCAGCCATCGATTGGGAATTTGGAGTTTGAAGAAAGTGGAATTAGTGATGGGGTTTCGTTTTCCAAGAGCAGTATTTCAGAGTATCTTGAGAGTTTGCCTGGATGGTGTGTGGAGGAGTTTCTTGATTCATAATGTGCTACAGATTTTTTTCTGTAAAGTTTGAAGCTTTTTTTCCCCCAAATTTAGAGAGAGATTCTTTGTGATGTTTTCTTTTGGTGGATTTAAGAAAAACAATGTTTTCTCTCATGTTATCACTTGGGAATTTTGGACAGAGTAAATGCAATCTTTCAAAGCTATTTCAATCTGTTTTAGTATCGAATTTATTTTATCTTTTTGGAGGGTTTTCTTTTTTAATTAAGAGAGAGAATTTTCTTATATGTATGATTTGACTAATATCTTACTCTAATAAAAATAGTTTATCATCACAAAAAGAAATGAGTAATGATTGTTGTGTAATGATCAAATAATTCAACGGATACGTGTTTCATGTGGTAGATTTATGAATGAGTCTAAATGAAAAAGGTTTTTCTTTTTTGGGACTATTCCATTTCTATAAATAAGACAAATTTTAGATCCTACTTTTGGAAATAGGGTTTTTTCTTTCTTTCAAAATTTTGCTGCAGAGCCCTTCTTTCCGGGGAGGATTTGTTTTTATCTGTTTCTTTTCAAAATTTAAGTTTCTAAATTTCGCTCGTATCGCTTTAGATGCTAATTTACTCTCATTATTCTTCTAATCATTTATTTTTCAGATTTCTCTCTCTTGTTCCATCTCTTTTTTTCAAGAATCTTTTCCCTTCCTCATTTTCTAGATTTTTTTTTGTTTCATTTTCCATTAACTTATTCTTTCTCTCTTTTTTTTCTCTTCTACGATGCTATATGTATTTTTCTCTCAATTTTTTTAAACTAATATAAGGGAATAGAGAAGAAGAGAGGCGAGGAGAGAGGAAAGAGAGGGGAGAGAAAGAAGAGAGTGAGCGAGAGGAGAGAGGAGAAGAGAGTGAGCGAGAGGAAGGAAGAGAGGAGAGAGGGAGCGAGAGGAAGAGGCGTGAGGAATAAGGGAGCGAGGGGGAGGAAAGGATAGAGGAGAAAGAGGAATTAATTTTAATTATTATTCCTTTGTCTTTTCAACTTTCTCGATTTTTTTCAATCACAAAAATTAATTTTCCTCATTCTGCCTCTCACCCTCCTTCTCTCTCATAGGGTTTCTTTTTTCTTTTTCATATGTCTCACTCCACGCCTACATCTATTTCACCCTATCTCTCACTTTCGATCAAATCTCAATCTTCGTTCTTGTTCTCGACAGATCTCAATCTCGCTCTCGATCATATATCAATCTCACTCTCGCTCTTGCTCAGTTCTCGATCTCGTTCTCTCTCATATCTCGCTCTCGCTCAGACCTCGCGCTCGCTCACATTTCGCGCTCGCTCACATCTCGTAAACTATTTTTTGTAAATGAACAACAGAAAACCAAAACGGATGAGTGAATGAGAGAGAATAAAATGAAAATGGGTAGAAAAAGAAGAAAGAGAGATTTTTTTTGGGTTGTGTTAGGAAGAGAGAAGAATAAAATGTTCAAATTATAAGAAAGAGAAAATGCATTGTTTAAAAAAAAGGGAAATCTTAAAAATTAGGGAAGGGGCAACAAGGTCATTTGATATCTAAGTTTAAAAAATTTAGATTTTGAAAAAAGTGGGTAAAAACAAATCCTCCCTTGGAAAAAGGGTTATACAACCCAAAAACACCAAAAGTTTCTAAGTCTAGGTATAATGCATTATGATGTATTTAATTGGTGATCTAAAAAGTGAAAACAAAAATTTAAAAACTATACTTAACTATCAACATCAATATAGCTTAACAATCAAAACATCTTGCTCTTTTTCTAATGGTCGAAGGTTTAATCTTCATCCCCATATTTGTAGTAATAAAAATATATATATTCATATTTAATGACAATAAAATGAATCTTAAAAAAATTTCACCTAAAGAGATGGCCGTCAAATAAGAGCATGGCTACGATAGAGGAATCCATTCCCTTTAAAATCACCTTTATTCAAAACAAATATGACCATAATACAATAGGTAAAAGTAACATTAAACGAGCATAGTTCAACAATAAATATCATTTAATCTTTTCTTTAAAGTCAGATGTTCAAATGCTCATACCCCATATTTGTTGAACTAGAAAAATTAAGACTCAGCTCAAGAAACAAGAGAAAGTCTCAATCTATCTTATTAAATGTGGAGAACCTCTCCTATTTATAGGGAGATCCAAACCAAAAGGCTATTAAACCTTTTTTTCCTAACATTATTGACATCCAGCGGTACTCTTTTTTTCCAAGTTCGACAAAGTACGGAAGGATTCAAACCTTCAATCATAGAAATAAGTATTTCACCAATTAAACTATGTAGCTAAAAATTAAAACCATAAATTTCTCAAGGGGTAAAATTTTACCTTTTTAACTTTTTATATATATAATTTTTCAGTTCCAATAAATTTTAAAACTAAACAAAAATACAAAATATTAAGTATTTTATACTTTTTGAATTACAAGTAGGGAGGAGCAACATTCTTGCTATGCTTACGTTGGCACGAGATGTGGTGCTTATAAACCATAAAATTCCACTATAATTCCAAATAGATACAACTTTATCATCAGTCACCCGGGAAAAAATAGGAAGAAAAAAAAAAGAAAAAAGAAATACCTCTATACAATTGCAATGATATTTCTGAGTCTTGACACAACATGGCATTCTGCTGCATACTAAAAGAAAGCAACACCAACATTGCATCTGAAACTTGAAATGTAACGCTCTCTCTTCTCTCCCTCTCCTATTATTATTTTACATTTTCCAGAATATTGTATTGAAAAAAGTCAGATTTCATATAAACCTTTCAGAAGATGCATATGGATTAATAAAAGAATTTGTTGCTTGAAATTGCATGGTAACTACTAAATGGTAGCTTGAAGACAAATCCCTGCAAATAGTTGACACAAAATGGTCAAATAAAACGCCTTAGTGAGTTCAACAATGTCGCTCGTTTAACAAGCTTTCAAAATCTGTATAAGATTAAGAGCTGGCCTCTGGCAAAAGTTGAAGAAATTGAATACCTTTATCCAGAGGGATATATGTATATATCAAGAAGCGAATGCAAAAAGCCGATCCGCAATGTTTGTACGGCAGATTGGGCATTCGGAACAAGCAAGAGAACAAGATTTACACACTGCAATGATGCAAAAAAGGGAATTGGATCATCTGGAAATTGATATGCAAAAGCAGAAGAAAGGATGTTTCAGAAGTTCAAAATCACTTACAGCAAAAGTGACGACAGGGGAGAAGAATTGCTGCGGTTGCCGATTCAAAACATATTTTACATGTATTGGAGGTATTCACATCGCTATTTGTCATGCTTTTGAGCTCTTTTTCTTTCATCTCCTGCATCTTTGCCTGAAACAAATGAAAATTGGAACTATTATTTTCCCCTAGAAGTAAAATCGTAGAAAATTTAGCTTGGTTCAGTAATTTTTAAATTACACAAAATGGTCAAATAATGACTTGGAATTGGTAGTACTTCATGGCAAAGTCTGCATACCTTAAGGCGGAGAACCAGTGGTTCTTCCTTTGGTATTTCCCCTACTGCTGGTTTTAAGATATCCGGCATTCCTCTGTCCGTAGTGCTAGAATCAGTTTTAGTGCTGAATTTCTTTCCATCAGCAAAATACTCCGACAATTCACCATTGTGCCTTGTGTCACTGGGTAAATCTGGCACAGTGCCCCCTTCTTTCTTCAACTTAGCAACAAGAACCCACATGTTCGCCAAATCATTTTCCAGAGCCTCCTCCTTCTTCTTTGCCTCTTCAATCTTTTTCCTGTATTGATCTTCTACAAAGTCCTTTTCGGCTAAAGCAGCCTCAAGGGCTGCTTCACGTTGTTTCCTTGCTTGCAGTTCCAATTTTAGGTCATCGGAATCAAGACTCCATGAATCAAATTCATCGTCGATTGCCCCGGTCCTTTCGTTGAGACGCCCGGACAATCTCCCTTTCCTCCCAGGTCTTAAGCTGTCATTATACTTACGGTTAACACCATTTACATTTTGTACACTTCTAGAATGGATCAATTCTCGAGCAGACAATAGTTCCTTCTCTAATTTTGCGTTCTGCACTGAGAGTTTAGTCACTTCACTAGCTAAATTTTTCAACTCAACAGCAGCAGCGGAAGCTAGTTCCTTTGCGTAAGAAGCTTCTTCAGCCAATTTTTGATACTGTACACGCAATCCACTGTTTTCCTCTGAAAGTTGAACGTGCTCCAGCTTTAATTTCTCGTTTTCAATCTCCTGATAAAAATGATGCAAATATAAACAACATGAGGTAAAATTAACTATAAAGTGCATTGACTCATCCCATAAGTTCAAACAACTTACAACTTACCTGTGACTGAATTTTCTTTTTCAGCTCGTCAACACATTCTCCAGGTACATGCTGTTCAAACATCAATGATGATTGATCACCAGTAAACGATGTCAACTGCTGCTCCAACAGATGTACTTTATCTTGTAGATCCTTATTCTCTGCATTCTGTCAATTACCAGATTTTTTTGTTAAAACTCCAAGAATCAAATGGAAAGGGTGGAAGTAAACATCTTGAATGAGTAAAGGGGTAGCAGAAACCCAGGTATAAGATAGGAGAAATAAACAATAACAAAGACAGCGACAAACCTTGTTCTGCAACTGTTCCTGGAGGATTCGGTTGTCAGCTGATTTGATCTGATTATTCATCAAAATATTCCTTACTTAAATTACAAATTCGCCATCAAAGGCAAGACTGTATTCCACCACAAGATTATGCTTGCTTGATATAGTGCAGGTTCAATAATACAAGTGTTGGTGGAAGCACAGGGTGCCAACTCTTCAGTGTTGAAACGCTAAAAACACAATACTATTACTCACCTCCAGCTCAAAACCCTTTTCATTGCATTGAGCCATCAATCTGGTAACCGTCTGTGATGGCAGAAGCAAATTTGAGATTTAAGATTTGGTCAAGATCGACAAATAACTAGCTAGAACTCAATGTCAGTTAATCAGGAGTAAGATTGAAGCACCTGTTGCATTTCAGCCAATGAAGTATTGGCAACTGATGCCTCACGACTCTCAGTTATGCGTTGCTCTAAAACCCTCATTTGCTTCCTTTTCTCTTGGATCTCATGCTCCAGATTCTGAATCTGTATCAGTCAGGGCGAATGCTTAGCAATAAACAACAGTGATCAACATTGAAAATTTTGATTTCTTCATGCAATGCATAGAACAGTTTTCTGTATATTGATTCATTTTAAAAGCCAGTATATTAAGGATGTTATAATGTGATTAGCGCCAGTCTTAATGCAAATCAAGCAACCACAAGCAGAACAAATAAGATGGTGCTGGTAGAAGATAGAGCTCCATGGTTAAGCCAATTGTTATCTTACTCTTAAGATCAAAGTTGTTCAGGTAGGGGGTTCCAACTGACAGACATACAAGTGCATGTAAATGATTTAGCAGCAAGAAATTGCCGAAGAAACAATGTTAAATTTTAGCTGTTTCCAGTGAGATGTAGAAAAAGAAATGAAAACAAAAAATGGCTTTTTACTTGAGTTTTAGAGCTCTCTGGGTCATTAACCGACTGCTCCACCAAGCGCTTAAGGGTGCTAGTACTAAATGCAATCTCTCCAGAAAGCATCTTAACTTGCTCAACTAGAAGGTCCATCTGATCCGACATTGTCATCCCACCCTACCATCCAAAAAGTAATATATTGCAACACCAGAACCTTACATCAACAAGGAAAACTAAACAAATTACAAAATAAAAAATAAAATCAGAACCAAAGACATGGGAGTGAACCTCATATTTACAATCATCAAATCCCTGAGATAGATAACGTTTCTTCAAATTGCATGGTAATGAGTCCCCTCGACTTCATCAGAATTCATGACAAATAGTAATTCATGGAAAAAAAAAAAGCTAGTCCAAATATGAAAGTAACTATAGTAGTGATTTGAAAAAATACTCTCTTAAGGAAAGTAAGGGACTCAAAGCACTACAAATGCGTCTTTATTGTAGAAATCCTGCCATAGTCTGCCTTGTCCCAGCAATATTTTTAAGGTGTAAAGTGATGGCAATGCTGTCTTACTACTCACAACTTATTGTTATCTTGGCCCATTTGGGCTCACAAGTTTTTGTTTTGCATCAATAATGACTTGAACTCCTGGCCTCCTCTTAAAGAAAGTAGTTTTCCAAATCACTTCTACAAATTGGGTTATTTCTCCAATTGATGAGTGAATGTGATGCAAGTAGAGAGAAGAAGAAAGCCAATGGCTGAAGGATTATTTAAAATGCAACAATAACAGTGTAATATACCAAACTCACGTTGTGCTTCCAGGTTGAAGTTCTGTAAGACATAATTGTTAAATCAAACTACCAAAAAATTATCCTCTACGTGATAGTTGAGAAGTCAACAACACCAAGACTCAGTTTCAAGACATATAATCTTTCGGTTCTGATTTTTAGCTAAATAATAGTCAAACGTCTGCACCCTCTAAAAGTGAAAAGCTAGCAAGATCACAATGATTCTGACTGAAGATATCAATCTGTTAAGGATCCCGCATTAAAAAGATAAGAAACCTAACAAAAGTTTATAATATACATAGGCTACTCCTTTCAATTGGTTTTGAAATAAAACCCCATGAATATTGACACAATCGAATGGGCTTAAGAACAAAAAATTAGCGTGGCTAATTACAATAAAAATGATAAAGATAGAGCCAACATGGAATGTAATTAAACTACTAAATTAAAGGGACCCAGGATTCAGACATTTTAATCTAGCATAGGTATATGTTTCCCTGGCCTGGCCTAATGAATAAAATACTAATGCTACAAAAAATGAACCCAATGAGGAATTAATCATCTCCATGAGCTAAATATAAGAAATACATATACATAATTGAACCAACAGCAAGTTGACTCACTTGATTTGATTCAGTGATTGTACTACTGGCAGATGAGAGCTCCTCATTCCATTTGCTTGAAGAGCTTCGGTGTTTAAAATCATAGTAAGGGTTTGACTGAACTTCTGAAACCGAAGATGGGGATCCCTTAAGGTTTTCACTCTCAATAGGCAATGACACGTCTCTCGTGACATCAAAATTCTGGTAAGATGAAAGATCAATATATCAACAAAAAGCCAATCAATCTATTCCAAAAGAACATATAGCCTCCAGTTCTTCTATTCTCCTGAGGCTTGAGTTTTCTCAATTTTCCTTTTAAAAAAAAGTAAAACCACTATTGCGTAAATTTTGAATAAATTATGATATAATCCATACAATTTCATCGCCCAGTATTTCCAATAATAATACTAATATATTCATGCATTACATTAAGTCTATCCTTTGAGTGGATTACTGCTTGAATGAGGAAGCTAGAATTTGACTTTTCTCATATTCTGAGAATTCAGTGGTATTCCGATTACCATAAATCTGAAGAAGACAATGACAATGTAAATAACTGGAATTCTCAAATATATCAAAGAAAATTTCCATTTCTACTGAAATCTTATGCAAAGTCGTGGATATCAAAAAAGCTAGTAGAAATTGCCTGGATTGATAAATGAACCTAATTAAATCTTTTTTATTATGCGTACAATTATAACTCACTTATGTAGGTAGTTATGTGAATACGGCTCAACATTTGTAATGTCATATATCAACATTATCAAATGTTAAGAAATTATAAGAATAAATAGCAAAAGATGAAATTAGGCAAATTAAAAATAGAATAAGATAACATAGATAATATGCATAATTATCTCAAACTTATGGATATTCAGCAGGCAATATTTATTCCATGCATCAATGTGCTCTGCTTCACTCACAAGTTTAGACTAATTGCAGTACCTGTACACAACAATGTTCTATTTACATAGTTGAATGCAGCAGGGGAACTTACATCATCATCGCCAGGAGAATGATTCCTTTGATGACTGGGAATGTCACTCAAACATCCAGGGATTGAATTCTTTGAAGAGACAAGTATGAGTTTAGTCAGCCGCTGAATTCGACTCGTAAGTGCAACCTTTGCCTCTTCTTCTTCCTCCAACCTCGATTGCATTTTCACTTGTCCTTCTTCCAACTGTTGAATAAATAAAAAGCAATTTGCAGAGTAGTTCTAACCAAATAAAAATTTAAAACCTGTCTCCATTTGAGATAGGACCATGGAAAGAAACCTGTTGTTTTAAGTTCATAATCTCCTCATGATTGACACCAACAAGCATGCCCTTCTTTAGCAGATCAAGTTCTTGTTTCAGGCTTGAGATTTCTTTTTGATACTTCTTAATCAAAGATTTTTCATCTATGATCTGAAAATATTAAAGATAAGCATAGAATATTTATATATGGACCACATAAAGATCATAATATTGCAATATCTGCAACTAACCTTATTACGAGAGGCATATATTTCTACTCGTTTAGCCCTGTTTGCAAACTTCAATGTGTTGTGAGTTTCTTCCATGTTACTGGATGCAGGGGTAACAGTGCATATCAGCTGAGATAACAAATGGCAGAATGTCATAGGTAAAATTCGCATGGTTTACACATGAGCAGCCTCAACAACAAAGTAGAGATATTATTGTGACTTATACTCACAGAAACATGCCCACGCCCACTTAGTGAAGATTGCAAAAGACGTGTAAGCTTAGAATCTCGATACGGAACATGGGATGCTTTCCCCTCGCTCAGTTTTCCAATAACCTTCATATTGTAATCATAGATTCAGGTTATTTTCTTAAATATTATTAAAATGGGGAAAACTAGCATGAATTGTTAATTCGAAGTTGTAGAAAATGTCTTTTTTTATATGTTAAAATATGAAAAGTGAAACCACATATATTAATATGTTTACAACAGATTATGCCTGATCTAAAACCAATCGATTGTTGTTTTAAAAAAAAAAAAAAAACAAGCGATCGACAACAGAAGTCTCAATCGTGTTTCTGTTGGTCCTTCCAATTAAAAAGATAGAAAGCACAAATCATCCATTGAAATTATGTCCAATTCATATATTATGTCATCAACCGCAAGAATAATAAAAAACCACCTACAGTTCCAAGAGTTAAAAGACTTTTATTTATGTAAGACCCCTCCTTTCTCCGTAACCCAGTTGTTTCAGTCTTCGAGCTCTCAGATCCAGCTAAATCAATCAAATTCTAATGGAAAAGGCGACAGAAAGAGAGATTAGAGATATTAGCCACAAAATATTGCCGTTGATACGACTAGCCTAGAAATAACTATATAAAGAATATTTCTAATCTCACAAGCTGTGAAAATATCACTCCATCATACTCATCTCCATGAGCACTACTTTCGATCATCTGAAAGAAACAAAAGAACAGAGAGATTAAAGAAGGATCACGATAACCCACATAAAAAACAGAATTTCACTGAAGCTTGTTCATATAAAAGTGAGACCCAACCCAACATGATCTATGGTCCATGAAATCTTTGATCTAGCATACCAGACACTAACAAAAGACCAAAAAGGCACACTTGATATATAAAACAGGTCAGATTTCTAAAATAAAATTACATTATAAAAGAAAATATCACTCCATCACACTCTTCTCGCCCTTCCCCAGAGCCTGATACTGTCACTTTTAGTTAAGTTTGAAATTAGCAAGAGTAGAATGGCACGAAACAATTTTTTATAAGAAAACAGCACCAAACTTTTTTTTATAAGAAAACGGCACCAAACTAGTTTTTATAAGAAAACGGCACCAAACTATTAACAACAGTTTCCTAAGTCCTATTCAATTTGGTACTAGGAAAGCATGTCTTCTCTGATAGACTGGTAAGTGGTCACACGGCCTAATGAACCTAAACATGCCAAAAGATCAAAAAAGTGTATACAAGAATGTAAATGAGCGTCAAGCGATAAAACAAAATAACCCTTCATAAAACAGAAAACAATATCCAGGCTCATAAAATTAAGCTAACAGTAAAAGATGTTTAGGTACTATCATTTTACAGGACCATTTATCAGCTACCAAGCATAGAAATGTTACCAATGTAAATATGGTGTGACTTCGGCTACTGAACAGATTAAAATTATTTGATCCAACATGACGATGTTCTGCCATACAGAAGTAAACAATGATAATCATAGAAATCAAAGTGTAGTGTTAATCATGCATAAAATAGTAAATAAATTGAATGCAAGGTGAGAATGGGAAATTGGGAACATGAAGTACCTTCTCCAGCAGCAATGAATGAAAGTGCATGCCCTGGAGACAAAACAACTTCTTCCTTTATACCCTCAACATAAGTGCCCTGAAAAGAAAATGCATGCATTCATTCTTGTGTTGTGATTGTGTAAGGTTAAAGTTCCATTCACAAGAACAAGAAATTTCAACAGAAACCCTGTAGAGACAAACCTGTGCATCTTCTCTAACACGCAAATTCTGGCCTGTTGGATCTAATAAGTCATTTATGACCTGGTTCGAAAGTGTAAATTCCACAAAAAGTTAAATGGCTAACTTCATAGAATTATGAAATTTTCATCCTCTTAGTACAACTCAGATGCAGGTATACTGATACAAAGATGTTACCACTGAACTCCAATGTTGAAGGATGTACCATAAATTCCTAAAAATTGAAATTGAAAAACTAAGAAAATGAATTTAAGTGCAAATGATGTATTACCTCATTGTAGATTTCAAGATATGACACACGAAGCAAAAACTCTCGCCCTGGAGTCTGAGTATTAGAAAATTTTAATCAACCAAACAACTCTATATCATTGAAATTTCGACAATAAAGTAAAAAATGCTACATAAAGCAAGAAAAATCAGCACCTCGATAGGAATAAAAAATAAAGCCCCAAATTGATAGAAGGATGAAGCTAGAGAAATCATGATACAAGAAAAGTTGCATCCTCGTGCATACATGAGGAAATATTACTTGAATCTTAAGCAATCAAATCAAATATTTGTTATAAAATATAATATTTCCCATCAAAAAAATAAATAAATAAAACATAATATTTCCCTAGGACAGCAGATAATTGCAAACATGCTATACAGTGAGCAGCAGTTGAACTGCAATTCATTTGCTGCATCAAAGAAGGAGCATGAAAAGTCCAATAACTACATAAAAATGCCTTAGCAGACAAAATAAACACAGGCACGAAAGTGATAGATAGATAAATCAAGAACAATAAATTAATAATATAAAAAAATGCAGCCAAACTGATAATACAGATTTCACAGTGCTATACACTAAAAATTCTTACATCTTGGATAATGCTGAACACATCCCTTATAGCCAATGGTATAATACCTGGAGAACTTTGATCTCCCTGCACGTATTGAAATTGAAAGTAAAACAAAGTAGAAGTGACGGCAAACTGTTCGGCACAGGAAATGTTGTTAAAATGCAAGAGCAAAGACATGGATCACTGAATATAATGAGAATAAAGTGATCATTGCTAGTAAAAGCTGTTATTGAGTTAATGGATTGACATAGAACATTGGACAAAATAGCCAACTACGGAGATACTAATGCAGGTTTTGAAAAAAAAAATCCAGTTACTTTATTGATGTTCTTGCTTCAAGGAGCTGACTAATTTACTAAATTGGGTGGACTACGGAGATATCCAACTCCAAATGACAACAAAGTCTGTAGATCACGGGTGAACAAGAGAAATCAGAAATGGAATAGGAACACAACAACCCAGGCCCTAAGGTATTAATAAATATCTAGATATAAGTTGCAGGATGCTGTTTCGCACCCTAAAGATCTGAATCTATCCATGGGCGCAGAGAGCAAAACTACACCATTGATTGGTAACCAATAAAATCAACCCAGGCTGTCTACAAATTTAATGAACTTGTGGCTAATTTATTGCTGATCAGTTTTTGTTCGAAAGTAGAATTAAATCAGTCATTTAGAGGTCTCCACAAGAAGTAACAAACTATGGAGAACTGAAACATGATATCACCCATTAGCAGTGCTAACATTTTGGCCTTAAAATAATTTCAGGAATAGAAGAAGATTAATCAAAGACATTGACGTTTAATTTAAACATTTTCAAAATTTTCATCAAAAAAGACAGGAAAATACTTGTTAAATGATTGAACTTACATGCATAGTGTGCGTCTTCCCACTACTAGTGACACCATAAGCAAATACAGTTCCTGCATTTTGACAGACGCAGTTAGCAGTATTATGATAGAAGTCCAAACCAATTGTATGCCAGAAAAATTAATGAAGTTTAATGTCAAAGTCTATAAACATTAAAATTACTCCGTTAAACTGCAACTAGAAAAATTAGAAGGCGTGATGCTCTAGAAACCAATGCTCATTGCCAGTAAATTGTTACTATTCTTGATGCATTCAGATTTATTCAATCACTTGTGAGCTTGAAGAGGAAAATTCACACACCATTGACACCTTCCATTGCAGCCTTGATGACAGGCTTGGCCGCAACTTCATACACCTCGTGAGTGGAAGTTTGGGCTCCAAAAACCCTGTCTGCAACACGAAAGCGCCACCAAGATCAAATTCACGGGGGAAAAAAAAGCACATGAACTCTCTTCTTTAACAACAGTTTTGAACTAATGATCATTCTAATTTCAAATTAAGAAATTCGGAAGACAATACCAAACGCATATGCAGTTGCTGGATTATACTCATTCCGCACAATTTTATCCCCATCCGCGTACCAAGCAATCTCGTCCCCTCTCTGAAACTCCCTCTCGCTACAAACACAAGTTTCAAAGTCAAACAAGTCCAGCGCATTGCTTACAAAACAGAAGCACCCGATTCCCCGACCAATAAAGCCCACAGATCTGATCCACTACACCGAGATCTATCATTACCTCAATGGCCGAAATCGAATCGTCACCGAAATGCTCTCTCCACACTTCGATGTATCCACTGGCTCGCTAATCAGCTCCTCAGACGCGAAACCGACAGGAGTACGACTGCCAGAACCGTGTGGACTATGGTACATTGAATCCGAACGGCCTCGATTTGGAGTCATGGATCGGGAACCAAGTCCGCCGCCGGAATTGAAGTAAGACGACGCCGAAGTCGAACAAGAGCGAGGAATCAACTTCCCATTCGTAAACGAGGATGAGGACGAAGAAGTTGAAGAATACGGACTGGCAGACTTCCGGTACGAAAACGGCGAGCTACTCCGTCCTCGGGACGACGAGGCCATTGAGTCGTCCCGGCGAGTAGTAAGTACGGCGACGGAGAGAAGAAGAAGAAGAAGAAGAAGAAGAAGCTCGCTCTCACCTGAGCCCGTGAGGGAAAACGAGAGACATGGAAGCTTTCTCTCTCCTCTGGATTCTCATGTGAGAGAAAATTTAGGCATGGAATTGCAGAGAGAGGTCGAGGGCGAGAGAGCGACGGCAGTGTCTGTTTGTTTACTTGAAACTTGAAACTTCAAATTTCCTTTTTCTTTGTTTTTTAATTTTTTAATTTGATTTTTAAATTGTTTGCTGTTTTTGGAGGGGATTACAGAATTTTAAGTTTTACTCAACGGATGATGACGTGGAGCGTTCGTTGACGTGGCAACGTCCGGACGATGGAGTTTTTAAATTTTGACGGACACGCCCCGCGCGTTAATAATGATAAAATAAATAATAAAATAAAAATGGGACTTTTCAAAAATAAACCGTCCATTGAGCGGGAAGAATGACAGCGGCCGTCATTTACTGACCATTTCGACATTTCGCTACAAAAGACAATTACTTAATTATTTAGTTAATATATTCCCCTTTTTCTAATTGACAATATTATTACTTAATATAAGGAATTGGTACGAGTTCATTGTTAGTTTTTTTTAATAAATAAAAATATAGTGGTTTCTGTGAGATTAAATATATATTTTAGTTCTCGGATGTTTTTTCCAATTTCGTCTTTAATATTTTAAAATTTTTTAAGTTGATTTTTTTATTCAACTTTTATAATTGGCTCTCATTATTATATTAAATATTAAATTTACGACTTAGGATATGTTTAATATTTTATATGTATTCTTAGGAGTTAGGATAATTCTTTGATAATGTGAGTTAATGAATTTTAGCTTTTGAAGTTTTAGGTTTTTTTATGTTTTATTTTCCTAAACTGAATTTTCAAGACATAATTTGTATAAATAATAAGAAATAATTTATTCATAAACTCGCTCGAATTCCCATTTACACGTTTGCTCTCTTTTTTTTTTTGGGTTATATATAAAACTATTTTTTAAAATTCAAATGGGAGAAGGCATGTTAGAAATGAAATAATTCCAAATAATTGGTTTTATTATTCCATCAGTCTCTTTTACAATTTGATTGAATAAAACAATTTAAAATTTTTTAATTGATGGAATATTTATTTGGTCGTAATCAATTTGGTCTAAATTGTGTCCAATTGTTTGCTAGAATATATAAATAATAATAATTAAGTAGTTCACATCAGTCCTTGAATTTTGTCGCTGCATGTAGTTTAATATTCAAATTAGTGCAAACATTTAAATTTTTCAAACACGATGGTCAAAGGGTAATAAATATATAATCTTGTCCGTCATTTTTTTTTTCACTTGTTTGATCAAATTTACTAATGGTAAGCACTAAAAATGGTGATATGAAACCTTTTTTAATAATATATTTTTAGTAAGGTGAAATCTGTCAACATAATAACATTTAATCTTCGTCCTTTAAACCTATTTCCAACTTTAAAACGCTCAGTAGTATATACTAAATCTTATACTTAAATATTTAATAAAATATTATATGTTGATACAATGGAACACACGCATCCAAGCTCATTTTAGAGGCCATAAATGAAATTCAGATTCATACTAAACATATCCTCAACTTTTTAAAGGTAATTATTTTAGCTTGTTTGCCACTTAATATATTTATTTCACTCAATTATCACTTCAACCCACATTCTCGTATTCTCGTTTCAATTCATTAGTACACGTATTACAAATAGACATATCTCTATTTGTTACACAATTAATAATATATTAATAATAGTGACAAAAAATTATCTTTAAGAGTTCATAAATTAAACTAGGACGGTTGACACGAGATTTTGGAAGAACGTTCACAAACATTTTTAAAGTTTAATTATGGATCATATAAGATAACATAAATATAAAATGTCATGGACATAATAATATTTAAATTAGAATTACGTCTGTGCTTATGGGACGATGAATTCTTCACCTCTCATCTCCCGCGTGTTGCGTTCTCCTTTGGCGGCCGGGAAAAATTGAACACGAAAACTGCTTTCTTTTTAGATTCCTTGACTATCGAGGTGAGGATCCTCATTCAAGATTCAGAGGGACATGTTCTCCTAGCAACGACGTTGTTTCTCGCTCACTGTCATTCGATGGATTTAGCTAAAGCCATAGCTCTCAGCATTGTTTTCTCCTTGGCGATGAACAAGGGTTTTCAACCTCTCAAAGTCAAGACTGGTAGCTCCCCAGTATCATTTACATTTAAATTATAATTCTAACAATATATCGGAGGTGGGTCTCTGGTTGCTGATATTTGCATGTGATGTCTCCCATCAACTTCTTTCAACTCCAATTTCACCTTTGGTGAAGGAAAAACGGTGCGACTCACCAATCGACTTGCTTTGCCTTAATACAATGGTTGGAGCAAGTTTGGATTGAAGATTTTCCATCGCCTAGTTCTCGGATTGTTTCTGTTCATCATTGTTTTTTTTTTCCCCTTAATTTCTCTTCCTTGTTTATTTTAAATTAGAACACAAAGAGTAATATTTTTAAATAAAAAAATGTAAATATACAAGATGGACTGTTTTGTTTTTTTGTTTGTTTTTCTTTTTCTTTTGAAAATAGGGACTGTTTTGTTTCTTCTTGAAAAATAGTACAAATTGATTTTATGAACCACGAAGTTAGTAAAAGACGAAAATGGAATCGGCACTACGTGTCTCGGTTAAAAGTCATGGGTAAAACTCGTGTAAAATGAGATGTCAAATAGGGGTGTTTTGGTCTTTGACGTGATGGCGGTGGGCAGTTCCATCTTCGCCACTCGTTCTGGCGTATGCAAGAAAAATAGGCAAATGGTCAACCCAATCTCTCCACTGTCAAAATATGTTAATTTTTCTAATATCCAAATTATGCATTATATATTTTTATTTTATCTTGTAGATATTTTTATCTTATAATTAATTCATTATCGAGTGATAATGCATTTGGATAGTAATAGTCAAATTTTAATACTTTCTTATCATCATAATTTTAAATATATATATTTATATGATATCCACCTACAATAATACTTATTTCTTATATGACTTCAATATGTGTCTAGTTTAATACTTAAAACTCAAAAATTGTGATTTCGAATTCTTACCTCATATGTTATACTCTAAAAATAAGAATAAATAAATTATGATCAATTTAATTTTTGGAGAAAACAAAATCACTACACATATTCTAAGCAATTAATTTAAAAGTCGTGATAAAACAATATATTAAAAAATATCATATTATTATATCATTAGCGAGAGTAAACACAACTATGTGATAATTGACATATATCTTCAACCAATAAATTATGAATTTGATCCCCATTCACACAATATACTAAAAAAAACATATCAGAGTATTTGTCTGTTATTTAATTCTATCTAGATTTCATTTTTTCACTGTCCACAAAAATTAATTAAAACACCATATATAGTATTTCCATCATGATTTCATACCTATTTTAGTTTTATTAAACGTACGTATTTCTTTTACAAAATAATTTGTTAAATAGTTATTTTGCAAACACAATTTAGAAACACCAATTACAATGTTCTCATGTAACAAAATTTACACGCTTTATACCAAATGCAAAATTAGAGTAAATAGTATGGAATTATTAGTCTTGAATGGATTAAAATAGATAGTTTACAAATTGATGAATAAAAATAATTAATTAAAAAAAAAACGTATTTTTGTTTTTGAAAGGTAGCTAATGATTTAAATGTCAGTGTTTATAAAATGTGAAAAACTGTGAGTAAGCAAGCATAATTTTAAAAAGTAAATTACGAAAAACGAAATTGGTATTTAGTGGAACCTACCCATCTTATTATTTTTTTTGGTTAATTTTAAAATTTTACAAACACCACATCCTACAAATTTATTTGATTAGTTTTTTTTGTTTGATTTTGTAATAATGTGCTTACAATCCAAGTTAAATATCAAAACTTAAAAAAAAAAGTTCTTAACTTGAGAAATGAAAAGTATATCAGGTAAAAGATTGACAAAACAAGTGCAATTTTAAAAAACACAAATTAAAAATGAAATTGACGTAAAAAAAAAGGATTGTAAAGACTAAAATATACATCCAAAATAAAATAATCTTGAAAGTTCAAAAATCAAGCAAACATTGTCAATCACTCGCCATCTTAAAAATTAAAGATTATTCCCCGTCCATCGAATTAAAAAGGAAAAAAAATCAAATATATATTTAAACTCACAAACTTTACATAAATGAGTATTTTAGTTCCACTTGCAATTTTTCTCCTTCTCACTCAACGCTCCAAAACTTCAAAATATACATAAATTAAATTAAAATAATGTGGGATGGTACATAGCAATAAATGCAAGTTTTAACTTTTAATCCAATGAGACACTCATAATTCAAAGTCCCATTTTTTAAAATAATGTCATGCCAACTTTAGGACACCGACGACATGAGGGGTTAGATTTAGTTTGCCGATCTTAGGACAAATTATTATTTATTCCATCAATCATTGCATTGTATTAATTAAATCTCAATAGTAAAGATTTTGGTCTTTTTTGAGAAACCGTTACCAAAATAGTGTCTTGTATTCTTTATTTTTTATTTTTAAAATTCCCTATTTAAATGCTGTCTTTTAAATTTCAACCCATACTCTAAAGATGGATATGGATTCGAGTGTAATTTAACTATTTTATCATAGTTTAATTAATCAATAAATTAGCAGTCTCAGTTGGATATTTTCAAGATTTTATTCATTTGTATTATTTGTATTATATTAAGTCCACGATTCACAGGGATGTTTATAGATTGAGTACCTCGACCCAACTCAATTATTCGGGTGGTAAATTTTTTTAAATAAACTCAACTCAATCCACCCATGAAAAATTTGAGTTGAGTTAATTCGGATTATTAGGGTTAGTTATTCAAATTATGGTAAAACAAACAAAAAAATATATAATTTTTTAAATATTCTTTTATATATTGTTTAACATTGCACCAAAAATTGTAAGTCGATTTTATTTTTATAGAAAAAGAACACTCCAAATACTTCAAAAATTTATTTCTAAAAGTCATGGTAGAATAAACGGTCCATAAAAATTATTGAATGAAATAAAATTAAAACGAACATAAGTAAATATAATTTGTATGGTGAGTAAAATAAATAGTTTTAAAATTAATAATAAACTTTGAATGAAATAAAATTAAAACGAACATAAGTAAAATAAATAGTTTTAAAATTAATAATAAACTTCGGGTTAAGTTAACTATTAAACCAATCAAACCCATAAATTTTAATTTATTTAAATTCAAGGATTAAGTTAACTATTAAACTAATCAAATCCATATAATTTTTATTTATTTAAATACAATCCAAACCCAAAAAAATTTATAACCCAATTCAAAACGTATGGATTGGGTTGATCGATTTTTTCCAGATCTTTTGAACATCGTACTCCTAAAATAATCTTTTAAGAACATTTTTCAATAATTAGAAGAGTTTGTGAGATAGTTTAGTGCATACATCTTTTCTATCCAAAATTTATTGACTTTTTCTTTACCTGTCTATTTTACTACGGTTTAATTAAATTAATTATTTGTATTTTATTATTTAATAAAGTCTCAATACCTTAAATTATCTCCAACAACCTCCCCTATACACTATGTTTGAATTCTATCGTCAAATAAAAAATTGTTTTGAAAATAATTTTCAAACAAGTCATTTGTATTTTCGTATTTTCTTTTTTGTTTTCACAATAACTTAGTCTTTTTGTCATTTTTCAAAAACAATAACCTATTTAGAAAGTTGTTTTCAAAAAATAGTTTTCTAACAGTTATTATTTTCGTCTTAGCTTAATTAATTTTCTCAATTAATTTTTAAATGAAAATAATTAAAATTATCATTAAAAAAATATCATATTTGTAATAGTAATTTTTTTTTGTTTGTATCGTGTAATCTTAACATTTATAAGTCATCTTATCACAATTTTTAATACTAATTTTGAAAAAAGCGAAAAATTAATCGACCATCACTAAAAAATAAAATCAACAAATATTTTGATTGAATTTTCATGATACTATCAGAAGGTATATTTGAAATTAAACAAATAAATATAAAATAATAATCCATCTTCATTTTTAAAATATGAATTAAAATCGAATTATTGTCAACGATTCTTGGCACTATTATTGTCATTTTAATAATGTTTTCTTCCACGCCCCAAATCCAATCCAAACCATAATATATAAATTTCAATCCTTCTGAATATCAACTCATCTTCTCTCTAAATAATAAAATGATTTTTCTTGAGCAGACAAATGAAGTGTTTGAACCTTCGACCTCAAGAGAAAAATATGTCAATTATCGCTAAGTTATGTTCGTGTTTTTTTATAATAAAACTTCATAAAAACGCCAATACGCCATTAAGGCTATAGAAGATTGACAGTCAGATTCAACACAACGAAGAAGCCAACTAGGAAAATTCTTCACCGAAAGATAACTCCCTACCTTGAAAGACTCTCCACCCAAATTATGGACAACCTTATTTGATTATCTGCACATATGCCTAAAAGACATTTCTTGAAACAATCGTGTCAAAAAATTCAAATCCTCAACCCAGGTGGCTTCTTCACCCAACCACTCATTTTCATCATTTAACATAGCTTGCAATGAATCAGATTCGACCTCCACGCTTTCTTCAACCTTAACTTCTCAGCCAAACCATGTTGACGACTAAATTCAAACTTTTAAAACCATACGAAGCAAAACTAATATCAAATAAAAAACGATGAAATTTAAATGCAACCAAATAGTTTCTATCAAAATTAAAGTTGAATTCAAATAATTTTCCTCTCATATACCTAAATATAGCATAAAAGTGATAGTCATTGAATTATTTCTTCATAAATAGAAAGTTTTAATTTTATAGATAAATAAAATTTATTAACATAGACCATAACCGAGCTGGTTAAAATACATATCTTCTTCAAACACTAACACGTGTGATTCATTCCCTTCCAATCTGACTCCCAAGGCCTGAAAATTTTAATTTTATCCTCAATATTTTCTTTCAAACATTTTAACGAACTTTTAAAAATAAAATAATTTTAAAATGTTAGAAAGGCAAAATCGCCGTTCCCTTATCCGTAGAGAAACACAGAGCCCAACGCAGAAACAGAACTTACAGAACGATGATTCCTTACAATCTTCATTCTCCTGCTCCAAATTTGATTTTGCTTCCGTCCACAGCATTCTCGCCTCCTAATTATGGTTCTCTCTCTCTCTCTATCTCTAATGTATGCTTTTTCCTAAGTTTTGTTATGTTATCTTCGTATTACTTATCATGGAATTCTTTATCTGAGCAATGTTCTGATCATTCGAGCTTTGTTTTCGCCGAAATTTTGTGTGTTCTGTTGATTTTGTTTTTATGTTAATCGAAAATGCCTTCTGAAGCTAAATGGATGAGTTCAGATTCATCTACATCTACTTCGAGCAGTTACCAATGCGTATGATCTTCGCGCGTCAGGGATTTGGATTTCGACGAATATAAGTCGAAGAAATCGAAGACGGACGACAATGAGCGTTGGAGCCGAAGCCTTAAGTCCAGTGGTGCCTCCTCAGGTCGTGAATCGGCTTTATCTTGGGATGGATTTTGGTACCTCTGGCGCAAGATTTGCGCTCATCGACCAGGAAGGGACTGTTCGTGCTGAAGGAAAGAGGGAGTACCCGCTCTATAAGGTATATGAGTATAGATCTTGAAGCTTTGTTTATATTCGAAGGGTAGTCAGGTGAATTTTTATTTTCAATTAGCTGATGGGTGAGCTAAAATCACGCATATATAAAGATATTCGATGGATGTTGGCGTAAACTAGCGTTGTCTTTTTTTTAGAGTTATTAGGTGGGGAAGGGACATCAATGCAATAACAGTAAAATTTTGATCGTGGGTCAACTGTTTGGAATTTTGGCAAGTGAAGATTGCTTTTAAAGAGGACATGAAAGATGTGAGATGTCCCGTTTCGTCTGTGGCTATGGAGTTGAATGGCTAACGGCCTCACTACATAGACCAAAACTAAGTTGGGTTCTTCGATGCTATTTGAGAGAACAAGAGGACTCTCAAGTTTAGATCCCATGAAGTCAAAAGAATTATTTGGTAGGGCTGGAACAATATGCCTTGAAGATTTTATTTGGTTGGATATGTGAGATAAAAATTCAAAAAATATTTTGAACATGCATCCGAGAGTTAAAAGGAGTGTCGGCCACAATTTATCCTTTTAGCGCCACTTTCCTACTTTCCCAATAGCTTAACTTCAAGTTTCCTAACCACTTACTTTTTCTATTATTTTGAAGTTAGATGGTTTGTCCCAAACTAGGTGAATATGGAGAGTAAGGGGGTATCTCTTTTCTTTTCTTTTTCTTTTTTTAATATATACACACACACATAAAATTACTGATTTTAAAAGACAAAACACTTCCCTCATAATCCAAGGAAAAGTTTGTTTCTGCACACTGTAACAAATGTGTTAAAGAAGGAATCATGCAGTGCAGATTCATATCATTGCAACATGAACACAGTAACTGGGAATAATGTTACTTTACTGTTGTCTAGAAAGAGCGATGAAACAATCGATTGGGCAAGTTCGTGGAAAACAACACTTTTTTCACTGCTTGAAGATGTTCCAAATCATTATCGTCATTTGGTGGCATCTATTTCCATTGATGGCACATCTGCAACTACCATGATTGTTGACAGGTCAACATGCTTTAGAAATTCCTGCCCTTCATTAGACTTTGCCCCCTCCATGTGAAGTCTGTTTTTGAAGCAGCGTATACTTGCGCAGTAACACTGGACAGCCATTGTCAAAACCATTCTTGTACAATGAGAGTTGTCCTGATGCCTTACCATTGGTGAAGTCTATTGCTCCTGTAAACCATACAGTCTGCTCTGCCTCGTCTACTTTGTGTAAGCTGGTTTCATGGTGGAACCGTGCTGACTCGAATAAAGAATCTGCCATGTTGTTACATCAAGCAGATTGGTTGTTGTGGTTTCTACATGGAAAGCTTGGGGTTTCAGATTATAATAATGCTCTGAAGGTGATCTTCACAAGTTTTTGCTACTTGTATCTTATACTTTCCTGAACATTTTAGAACAGCCAATAGCTAATTACGCATATCTCTCTGCATCACAGGTTGGCTATGATCCTGAAGTTGACTCTTACCCACCCTGGCTTCTCGCTCAACCATACTCTCAACTTTTACCTTACGTCAAAGCTCCTGGAACTTGTATTGGGTATTTGAAAGAGGACATTAGATCACGATTCGGTAATTTCGCAACTTTTGACTACCAAGAGTAGAAGCAATTCGAGCTGCCAAAATGTGGATCTGTTTTTGTTAGTTATTGTTGAAAATTCTCTCTTTGGAAATCAAATAAGTACAGGGTATTTTCACATTTAAAGGGAGAATAGCTTTTAGTGGAAGAGCACTTTGTCAAGAAAAATTGATTCTATGAAGATTTGTATCCATATATAAAAATTTAATTTGCTCATCAGTTGTTTCAAAAGTTAACTMCTATTGTAGGCAATTAAATGATTTATATAATGCTCCCAAGCAATTTGTGTACTGGCTGTTGCACCTCATTTCTATGAATAATTATATGCAACTCTCTGTGTCTGAGTTCCTTTAGAGTAGGTTCTGTTCTGGAAGTTTATAAAGAGTTGATGTTTAACAAGAATCTTTCTGTAGGTTTTCCAAATGATTGCATTGTATGCACCGGAACCACAGATAGTATTGCTGCATTTCTTGCAGCACGTGCAACACTGCCAGGGCAAGCTGTAAGGATCCAATATGAATTAATTTTTCTTGGAGTAGATAGATTATTTTCCTAATGTTTCTGTCATGCACTTAGGAAAAGGGTTTTCTAACTTACTTACCTAGCTTGATCCAGCGGCTAGAAATATGCAGGGTTTATGACTGTAGTACTTTATATTTGTGATATGCATCAAAAGAAACATGATGGATCCGTTGAGGAAAAAGAAACTAGTTTACAGGAATCTCCCACAGGACCCTGTACTACATGGACTTGAATTTGATACTTCCATGTTTTCATCCCTCAACATCTTTTATTCCATTAAAAAAAGAATTAAGTTTCTGAGAATTTAGTTACTGAGATTTGATTATGAGTTATTAACTGAAAAAATGAACCCCAAAAAAAAAAAAAAAATTACAATCTGAAGAACTAGCTTCAAAGATTCTGATGAACTCCTGTCCTAACTTGGTTTCTCGATAAACGATTCATATCAAGATGAGGCTTCGGTGGAAACTGTTCGTTCAAAGTGTCTTTCGACTCAAATTCTTAAAAGAAAAGGGGCAGAAAAGGAGGTATTTAAACTCAAACAAGAGCACCTGTGGCTGGCAGAGTTACTTTTACCCCTAAAACATTTCCCATTTGGGTTGACAGTTAGTTTGCTGACTTCATTCTCTGTTTACTGTTTCTATACTGTCTCAATTTGGCTCCTTGGTTCTGAATGCTTTTGGTTTCATTTAGCTATTATTCTCGCCTTCTCAGCCGTGTTTAAACTAAATGCTGTTTAGGTCACTTCCTTGGGCTCCACGCTTGCCATAAAACTATTGAGTACCAGCAGGATTGACGATGCACGGTTTGGCGTGTACAGTCACCGACTTGACAACATGTGGCTCGTGGGAGGAGCTTCAAACACAGGAGGAGCCGTGCTTAGACAAATTTTTACTGATGAGGAATTAGAAGAAATGAGCAAACAAATCAATCCCATGAAAAGTTCTCCTCTAGATTACTATCCACTGACGTCGATTGGAGAGAGGTTTCCGGTGGCAGACCCACAAATGTCTCCCAGGTTTCCATCCTTCCGCTTCCCTTAAAAGAATTAACAACTCCTCGCTATAATCTTGATTGCAAATTCCATATTCTGGTTGCAGTTTAGCATCATAAATAACTGCTACTCTTTGATTTTTAAAAAATTTGTCTGCAGATTACATCCACGACCAGAAAATGATGTTGAATATTTGCATGGGATTTTGGAATCTATTGCGCGCATCGAGGTAAGGGTCAAAGCACCATAATCTTTGCCTTTCTTAGGTTCAAATTGTGAACTCTTAAAAGAAAGTGGGTTATAATTATAACACTTGTCTAGAAGCATAAAAATTGGTGTGTTTATTTAGGGAAATGCTTATAGGTTATTGAGGGATTTGGGAGCAACCCAGGTTGAAGAAGTGTTCACAGCTGGAGGTGGATCCAAAAATGAGAAATGGACGAAGATCCGAGAGAGAGTTCTTGGTTTCCCTGTGCGTCGAGCAACTCAGACGGAGGCTGCTTATGGAGCTGCTCTATTGGCATTAAGAGGTGCCCAATCATCCATATAATTGTAGCTTTGAGTGAAGAAAAATACTTTGAGTGCTTATTTGTCAGTCTTTTATTGATTACCATTAAAATTTTGACAAATTAGAAAGAGAAATAAAAAACTGTCTAATTTTTATTGGTAGTCAGTATAAAGATGGATATGGAACAATAATTACTTGAGTTTTGTTTAGGAAGGAAAATGATTCGGTTGAATAAAAAATATTATTAATTAGTTTGTATGATGAATCTTTGTTTTTTTCTCTTCTTATATATATCTCTTTTCCATACATTGTAGCTTTCGCACGTAACCTATAAAAATCACTAATGTTTGAATACTTGGCCAATTTATCTTTTAATCAATTTACCATTTTTTAAAAATAAATCTATATTTTGTTTTGTTTCCAGTTGTTTTTAAGTTATTTAGATATTATAAATTAACACCATTTAGCCACTTAACTTCTTATTCTCGATCATTGGAAAAGGAAATAAAAAACAATTGAGCTAATGGATCCCAATGTTCTAGACCAATTTTATTCTGAACTCGCACCTAAATCTGTTTTCTTTATAGTTTATATTATAGTATGGCTGATTTAAGATTTTCACTACATTTGAAAGATTGCGTACTTCCAGAAAAGAAAAACAAAACAAGAATGTATCATATGCATATATTTAGCATTTATAATTTAGATATGGCCTTGCAAGATACAACATTAAAAGAATTCTGACAGAAAATACAACCTAAAAGCCAGCACTCTTTTAACTTTTAAGAAACACAGAATATGGCTTCACACTCTTTTAAGATAAAGTTGCTCTGTCTTTTGTTTTAGCTTCATCCAATGAGCAGAACCTTCAAAACCTGCTTGTGAAATCATATGCTTCTTGCTTCTTTATGTAACACTGTGTCTTAAGCTGCCTACAGAAACTTTTGGTTCCAATCCATTCCTGCAACCTCGGATGACGAAGACATCGAAAAGGTGTTGAATCATATCTACTGCAAGCTCACATGGACTATCACCTATGCAGCTTTTTGCTTTTCCAGTTTATAATGACTCAAATCACTGGAGTAGAGCACTCCATTGGGAGAGAGAACCCGCCGAAGAGCGATAATAAACCGAGCCTAGGTAAGAGAGCGATCGTAGAAGGTGAGAAGAGCAGAGCAGCTATTTAGACATAGGTGAAGTAGGGATGTCTTGTTCTTACCCATTGAAATCCGACGAGGGCGTACCAGCAGCCTGCCAAACCATAACCCCTACTGCAAATAGCCTGGAAGCAGCAGCAAAGTTGAAGCACAAAGGTAGAGAAGAATAGGGTGGGAGAAAATTTAGAAACCATCAAGAATGAGATTAAGGTTTGGAGATGAAAACATTACCAGTAACACAATGGCACCAAGACAAAGGCATCCAGTCATTGACAAACTAATAAATTTTAGGTCTCGTCCAGCCTGCAAAAATCAAATTTCAAGAGTTCCTTGCTTGATTGCAACTCAAAAGTGAATTTGATGAAATAAGACAATATTACTGGAGCCAAAACAAGTAGTAAGAAGTTGGAGCTTTGCTTCCCTAATACCTAGGGGCACCCGTACCCGTCCCAAGACTTGGATCCAAGAGACATCGAGGAATTTTTATATAAGCTCACCGAAATGTTCGAACTTGAGACCTCTAAAACCAGTATGACTAAGAGATCCCACGTCCTTGTCGAGTAGCACTCGCTGCCCTTTGGAGACGCAATACTTGGTATTTTTAACTTATGATTTCGAAGGCAGAAAGAATAGTTTGTTCTTTTTTTAAGCGATAAGAAACATAAGTGAACGTACAACTCAGTCGAAAAAGCTTCAGCAAAATCTCTAAGGTGAGAACATACCAATAATGTCCCTTCTAAGCTATGAGTTGGGGGTGTTATGACTAGCGCCAAGAAATATGGAATCAACACTTTGTGCATCTGCATGGACAGGTAAATACGTAATTGAGATATTTTATATAAAAATAATTATCATACTAAGAGGTATTTTTATGGTCAAAAATCAAAATCAATATATTATGAGCAAAATTAGGAACTTCATGTTGAGAGTTTTTAATGACATGGGATTGAACAATGGCCCTCAATTCAATTTTTATTTTGTTAGAATTGAAATAATAATACGTTAGGCAACAGTAGAAAGACTTCGAATGGCACCTCTAAGTGCCCATCAGTTAAAAATGGAATTCTAGAGGCAGTTTTAATTATAATAAGAAATTGAGCTTTCATCTAGAGAAATGGAAAAATATATAAGGGCATACAAAAAAACGTCCTACAACAGGACATCCCTGGAGAAGGGGACTACAATCCAAAAGAATAACATCTAACTAATAATATACCACAATCTACTTATGCCATATGAGTTATTGTCAAAGCTGCAAAATCTAGAGTAAGATAATTACAGATTGAAACAGCAGAAATGTGAACTTCAAATACTTATCTTATGCCTATAATTAATCCATCATGTATTATATGTTATGAAAATGGGGGGGGGCAAGAAAATAATAGATTTAAATGGGAATAGCAATGGTTCAAATTCCACATGTTGGGATATAGATATCAAGAACTGACCTCCTGAATAATCTTCTCTTCAGGTGTGAAGAGATTGGGGAATAACCAAGGAACTGATGTTCCAATAGTCCCTAATACCAAACCAAATATAGCTCCTATGATCAAGAGTGACTTGAGCAGCATCCGAGCCTACACAATATAAAAGGCTTTCCACAATAAATTCAATGACTATCCATAAAGAATAGGTCTTACAACCATAAACTACCCACCACTGGTTAACAAGTATCCATGCAAATAAGTTTCTAAGATTTATGAATATCCAAAGCAAAGCAAGGAATTCTGTATAAGTTGAATAAAATTGGTGCAGCTACTCTGCAACCAAAATTCCGAAACAAGATGGATGACAGTAAAGGCTCATTTGGTAAAGTTCGTGTTTTCTGTTTCCGTTTCCTCATTTTTAATAAAGAAAAATGAATTTCATGTCCCATCATCCATGAATTCAAGTATGATAAAACAATTTCTTTATTTATGTTTTGGAACAAATTGGAAATGAAAACAAGAAAGAGAAACTTGTTTTGGTTGTTTAAAAAATTTCTATACAATTTTGAGAATGTTCCCTAAAAAAACGGAGAAACAAGTTAGTTGCAAAATGTTGAGATTTCTTAAGAAAATTGGAAATGAGAAACAATTAACGGGAACGTTACCAAACATGTCCTAAATAAATAGTAAATTCAAGTTCTCACCTTATCCAAACTAGGATTCACTCCATGTATCAATCCAGGCATAAATGACTGAGCAGTTTGGGAAAGAGGTTCACCCCATACGGTACACATACAGAACGTTTGAATCATGACCTGGAGAGAATGGCAAGCCACCAATTTGAGACACCATTGACTTCCAATGGAGAGAAAGAGGCATACATGCGTATGAAGATAAAAGTGAAAAGAACTATGTATAACCTGATGAGCAGCCATGGTGTGTGTGCCCATAGACGTAGCATAATAGATGAGGAGAGAATAGAAAACCACCTAAAAGATCGTAAAATTAGATACATTAATCAAATGAAAACAGATGGATGTAAAGGGTTTTGTAAAATAGAACCTTTGACATCATTGTTATAAAAACAGGAGCAGCAAGTCCAAGTATTGACAAAAATTCACCGGGCGAGGGAACAGATAGAGAATATCCATGGTATCCTTTCTTGTTCAGTGTTTCTATCATCATATAAGCCGCAATAACCTAAAAATCATACAGGAGAAAAATAAGATCAGTTATAAGGTGTGAACCAGTACAAATGCAGTGAAATTAGGTACACTAACGTAAACAGAAAGAAGCATACCTGTGATGCCATAGTTGCCCATGCAGCACCAGCAATACCATAGCCCAAAAACATGCAGAGGACCACATCACCTATGCCATTTACAATACTTGCAACTGCCAAAGCCTTCAGAGGTCCCCAGGAATCTTTCATGCCAAGACTAAAGCAAAAACAAAAATGGAAGATAATAAATTTGGTGAATTCTCAAGCTACTGGTGGTGTTATTCTGGACGTTTTTACAAATTTTCTATATTGTTTCATTTTGGCACCTCATTTCAAAGTTAATGAAATACTTTGTCAATGTTGTGTACAATGTATTGCATTTGCTACAGTATAGTTGTCTTAAGCTTATTTTCCATGTACTCGTACTTTTTCTATTATTCTTAGTAAACAAATTGGAAAAAGCCACGGAATCATTTTCTTTAAATCTTCATGTACGTAATTCAGTTTCTTGTCTCACCGGGAAATCAATTCAGAAAGCAATTAAACACCTTATGGCAACTATGCTCAAGCTCACAAATGAAACTCATGGGGTAAAGAACAACAAGGGCCTCAAGTCTAAAACCTAAATTGGACAAACTACCATAATTATGAAGAAAACCAGTAGGCATCTGATAGCTTAAATGTGAAAGGATTTTTTACTCTTTTTTTTTCAATCTCGAAGTAAGGTGACATACCCCGAATCACTAAAGTTTATACAAGTAGGCATAGGAAGAAGGGGGAACATGTAATGAGTAAGGACGTGTGATTTGTGCGCCCCAAAGAATTTCCAATTTTGTTAGTCAGGGGGAGTCCCGTGAGGCAAATTTTGGGGTTCAAGGCTATTTTCAATTGAGGGATGGGGTATGTCTTTTATATCATTTTTTAAGGCTCAATTTCTGAGTGTTCTTGGGAGAGTGGGTCTCCCTTGTTCTGGTAATCTGTTATTATAAATAAAATTTGACCTTATCACAAAGATGACGAAGCAAGTAAATTTATGGGTTCATATGATGAAAACAGCAAGTATAAAACAAACAGACCAAAGTTATGATAGAAGAAGTAGACGAAGCATTGGCATGGATCTATAAATAGGAACCTTGCACTCTGAGCAACCCATCCAGTGAGAATTGCAGGCCATGCCAAACCTCGAATCTACCAACGAAAAGGATTCTGTTCAACTTAAAGTCATTGAACCAATTATCATAATGGAAGTGTACATTTACACAGTAAACATCGAAAGTAGAAATCACAGAAGTTAGATCATAATTTAAAATTATCCTGACATAATTTTATGCATCAAAATAATCGTTATGACCATTGTGTTACAAGGAAATAATGTATGTGGTGAACTTCTTACAATGGGGAGGAAATGAAACTAAGCTGTTCCATGATGAAAGATCTTAACATGTCTACTGTCTACATTGTTCGCAACTCCATTTGTGAATATTTATTACTTGGTTAACGTGTTTTAGGAGGTCAAGTCTGTACAGGTGATAAGCATTGTATTCATTTGAATTATAAGAAATGTTTGACAATAATTTTTATATTATTATAAACGAATGGTTATAATAGTAATGAAATTGAGCCTTTTTTAAGTTCAAACTGGTGTTAGTTTGGAGGAATCAGCCTGTTAAAGAACTGGACATCATTTTTAAAGTTTTTTGGTTACCTCACACTGTCACTAACAACTCATGTAGCAAGAAGAAAGGAAACATAAAGAGACAGTAACGAAAATCCAATATCATGTATGTATAACAAGCATAAGTAGAAGTAATGCGTCCAATTCCTAAGAATCAGAACAAGCTCAAGAGAGGTGAATTCAACAAAAAAGAAGTACATCACATATGAGGCTAAAAGACAAACTTCTATCAGTAAAAAGTTCATCTAAAATTATTAAAAAATACAAAATAAAAAGAGAAGAAGACGAACCTGAACATATGTGTTTGCTGCAGGTATGATGTCTGCATTCTTTGTCCCCGCAAAAGCTGAAAATTTACAATAACATCATGGTAATGGTATTCCAATGCCTCCTACTTTTAAAAGATGAGGAAGTTCTAGCTGTTTATGTGGCAAAAAACATAAGATAATAGTCCACAAAATTAATGAATGTCATGAGTCCTTTATTTAATGAAGCAATAATGTAGAAGTTTAGTACCAGTTAGCGCTACTGAACCCAATAGTTTGGTAGCTAAAAGCATCAAGAAACCAGATATCAACCCAACGAACAGCAGTACAGATATGTGATGTTGCACTTCGTCTTTATCCTGCAACAACACTTCTAGTCAAGAAATGCAGCACAACTATTACATATCTGTAATACAAATTCCATCCATTACGGGTCGAACCTGTTTGGCAAGGGCTGTGGCTACCATATTTGAAGTTGCAATACTAAGAAACATGAACACATAACTTGTATAATCACATAAAACTGTCGCTGGGCCTGCCAATCAAACGTGACAATCAAAATAATTGATATATAACATTGTTTTTAGATTTCCAAACAAATAACCAGCTCAACTTAAGTAACTGAAGTTGGTTGCTAGTTGGATTAGACCCAGTAAAGTGGAAGTTTAAACCTCTTGTTTTCCCAATCCATTAGTAAATTCAAGTTAAAGCTTCCCATCTATTAACCAGTTACTCTTCGCAAGAATCAAAAGGAAGCAAAAACAGAAGGAATTTTACGAAAATACCTAAAGCAGCAAGCTCAACGGCGCTTCCCTGGCCAATAACCGCGGTGTCAATGAGACTCATCAATGGTCCACAAATCCACAATCCAATGGCGGGCCCAGTAAACGTCACAATCTCCTTCATCTGACGCCACAACCCCTGGCTCCCCAATTCTTCTCTATTACTACTCCCCAGTAATTGTTCGTTTTCTTGAACTTCAACGGCGATTTCGCTCTCAATCTCGCGGCCATCGCCAGTAACCACAAATCGGCGGCTGACCCGCGACGGCACATCGATAGATGAAGTGGAGAAAGAGGAACGGAGGCGAATGGCGGGGCAGGAGAGAGATTGGTAGGTGAATGGAAAGGAAGGGCGAGCGAGTGGTATGGGAATTTTGGGGTTCTGGTTCTGGATTTGAGCAGTGATTGAAGAAGGACGATGGAGGATTTTGAAAGGCATTTTTTGGCGCCTGAAGATTGAAAGGAGCGAACTTTAGGCTCCGAAATTCAGAAAAATATTCGGTAACAAACAGTTGGGAAGTCGCCACAGTCCCTTCATTCTTGAGAGAGAGCGAGTGGTCCGCCATTATTGGAGTCTGAAGATTGAGTCTTCAAAGAGGTCAAGACACGTGGACGATTCTTGATCGTTCTTTTCTACCCTCTTCGCCCTAAAACCTAGAGGTAATAATTTAATAATTATTTTTCCTCAATTTTATCTTTTAAATCTTTGATAATTTTTAGAATGTCATTAATTTAATGCGACATTCTTAGCTTGGCAGTAATGGGCCTTATGTCAATCAAATCTTCACCTCATTATATATATTGAAATAAAGGAAAAGGGGCAACTTTGAGATATGATAAAAAAAATAAAAAATTAGAAAAATAAGTAAAATAGCTTTGAGTTTTTCAGATATAAAATTTCTTTTGAAAAAAAAAACGGAGGCCTACGTTTTAAATTACAAATATATCTTAGAGGCCTAAACCAATAACAGGGCACACACCCAAAATGCATATTGAAATCCATAAAAACCCTAACTTTCAATTTACCTTCGATTTCCATTTGATTACCTTTCATCTCCTCTCCCCTCCCTTTGATTTCTCCTTCACAGTAAGTTCGAGTTTCACCATTCACGTTTACGTTCCTTTCGATTTCAGTAACTATCAAATTTCTCCTTCATTTTCCATGCATGTCATTTCGTTCACGTTCCTTTCGTTTTGATTTCCCTTCGATTTCCACTGATATATATCTTATATACTTTTAATTTACCACTGATATAACTATGATATCTACAGATATAACTTATTATATGATTATATGATTTATCATGTATTAATTTACTGCTGATATATTTGTGATATATACTTTAAGATATTTATCTGATTTACCACTGGTATATCTCTAATATAACCATGATATATACTGATATAACTTCTTATATGATTATATAATTTACTATTGATTGATTTACCACTAATATAACCATGATATATATCTAATATATATTTGAATATAACTATGATATATATAGTACAATTGATTTACTTTTGATATAACTATTATTTCTACTGATATAACTTTCGATATGAGATTTACCACTGAAATAGTATTGATAAATGAATTATCATTGATTTACCATTGATATATGTTTGATATGTACTTGATATGAGATTTACCACTGATATAGTATTGATAAATGAATTATCATTGATTTACCATTGATATATGTTTGATATGTACTTGATATACTTTCAATTTACCAGTGATATACTTATGATATAACTATGATATATGTGTATTGATATATATACTTATGAAATGATTATATGATGTCCAACAAAAAAAATTTATTTTTGAGATCGAAATTTTGGTTCAAAATGAACAACTAATGTGATTACATGTTGTTAATATATATAACATGTGACTACATGTTGGAATTGTTGGTATATATAACAGATATACCACTAATATAACTTCTTATATGGTTACATGATTTACCATTTATTGATTTATTACTAATATAGTCATCATATATGTCAGATATAACATTGATGTATCTAAAATATATCATATATTTAGTACACCAGTGTGATATACTCAACTGACATACTTTCCATTAGAATAGAATGAAGAACCTAGATACTTCACTAATTTAAAATAGGGTGAAGAACGAGGTGAAAAAAAAGACCATTAAATACAGTATGAACGAAAAATTGAGAAACAACCCAAAATTTGCCCATATAATTTGATTCGTGGATTGTGGCCTAAAATTATCCAAGCACAGCACCCACCACCAAAAAATCCCCCATCCCTTCCTCATCTTTCTTCACTGCGTCCAAATACAGAGAATTCTTTTTAATGGGCTGGAAAATTAAGAAATTGTGCGCGTGCAAGTCTCCGACGAATGTGGTGTGTGGAGTGGATGAAACAAGGCTGTGTTGGGGGTGCGATTGGAAGGTCCACGACGCCAATTTTCTGCTGGGGAAACATTTGAGGGTTTTGCTCTTCCATGGCTGTCAAGCTACAATCGAAGATGAAGGAAATCAAATAAGAACTACCTGAACGAAAACTTCGGTTGAAGCCCAAGATTCGGTTGAATCTGAAGATAAAATCGAATAAAAAAAGAACTACCTGAACAAAGAATGAAGATGAAGGCCGAAGAGCTGCAAGCGAAGAATGAAGAAAGAACAAAATTAAAAATCAAAATTCGAACGAAGAACAAATTTGAACGAAGATGAAGACCTTCAGTAGTTTTTTTGTGCATGGGAGAGTAGCAAATCAAAAGGAATGAAGCACCAAAAGAAATTTGGGGAAGTTTAAACGTTAGATCAAAGGGTAATTTGGGAATACTGAAACTTTAAAAATCAGGATTTAAAAAAAAATGCATACTATTTTGTTATTTTGTTAAATATAGACAACTTATACTACCCATTACAAATCTAAAAAAAAAAATATAGGCATCCTTCGCATAAGAATGAAGCATTAAATTATGACTATCCTCTTCGCATAAGAATGAAGCATTAAATTATGACTATCCTCTGCATTTCTCCTTCATTGCATCTACATATAGCTGTATTTTGTTCTCATAAATCTCGTATCTCGATATCAAATTTCGTATAAAAAGAGAGTCAATTTCTATCCACAGAGGTCTAATACCAAATTTTTGCGCCAAAGTGATACATTCGTCAAGAGTAACAACTTCAACAAGTATCGCACATATCCCAATATCATATGAAATGTATAATTGAAAGTTATTACTTAACCATTTGAGTCACGAATAATGGAATCGATATCGACACTCCCACTGAAAACAACATCGTTAGTGTAAAGCTTATAGTTATGGGACTTTGGAGGTATCCAACTTTCTATAATTCAATCAATTTCTATAATTTTAATTGGGTTACTGGTAGGAACCTGTCTTGCTTGAATTTGTGGAGTCGTATTAAGTTGATTTTGTTTCTTATACTACGTCTATGTACAGTGGAACCCAACGACATGTCCTTCCCTTAAAATTTTCTAAGAATTACTATGGAGGCTGTGATTCCTCTCATTTCTCCCAAAAACTCTCTCTATTTGTTGGGTTTTTTTATTTTTTTTTATTTTACATAATGCTTTTAACATATAAAATATATAATACCTCGGTTGAAACTTATTTAAAAATAATATTTTTAAAATTTTTCTGTCACTTGTATGTCTCTAAAGAGACGATCATTACATTTTCAACATTTGGTCGTCTTTTCAAGAGACGATTGTAAGACGTGGTGTTTGATAAAAAAAAAAAAAAATTCAAGATAGGATCGTCTCCTACCATCTTGCCACATTTCATTTTTTGAAAAAAAAAATATTACTTATATTATATATTAAATAATAGCATGACTTTTATAATATTAAACAACAATAATAAAAAGTAAAAAAGTTGATTAACATAATAAAAAATAAGAAAAAACGGCATAGTCCACAACACATAAAGGGGGAAATTGGGTGGGCACTATCAATGTAAATATTAGGCTATTATTTAATATATAATATAACTAATAATTAATTACTTTTTTTAAAAAAAATCAACGATATATCGTATCTTAAATAGAAGAACAAATACTGAAAATGTCGTGATCGTCCAGAGGCGGAACAATTTTAAAAGTATTATTTTTAATAAGTTTCAATCAATTAATTATACATTTAATATGTTTCAAGCATTATTTCATAAATAAGTTTGAAAATAAACATTATTTTAAACAAATTAATTATTTGTAAAATTGAGAAGCGATTGAGTAAAAGATAAAAAAATTAATTTATTATTTTATGTGGCCGAATTTTGATATGGACGAGCTCGGCTCTTTATTCCATGTTAATTAAGATAGAGGTATTTATTATTTACAAGTTCATACTAAATCAAAATAAATATAATTAGGTCATTGACTAAAAAATAAATTATTATAATTTTTTAAATACCCCTATAAAGCAAACAACCTTCTTCACATGATTGTTGAAGTAATTAATTTTTTCAAAATAGAAAAAAGAAAAATTGTTGAAGTAATCAATATAAAAATATATATAATTTTTTAATAACCATAGATAGCACGCCCTTTTTATATTAATTAATTGTTTGAGTAATTCAAATAATAATAATAATAATAATAACATATTGAAATCGACGTGGACCCAACGACTTGGTGAAATTCACGTGAACGACGGGTTAAGGTCACGTTTGGATTCGGACAACATGAAAGGGATTTTTTTTTTCTAAATTATTGTTAATTATTATTATTTTTTTTTGTTTTTATTATTATTATTTTTCTGGAAAGATTGTGAAGAGATTTTTCCGTACTACTAAAATGTTAATTCGATTTTTATGCTTTTGAAAATTATAAAATATCGTTTTTTTCACTCAAAAGTATTAGGTTTAAAATCTAAAAGAATATATAAGAATTGAAATATTATTTAATAATAATTAACAAAATTGTAGTACACATATTTAACAATGGAAAGCATTTTTTAGTTCAACCATATGTACAGTTATTCAACCTTATCTATAATATTGATGTTAATTAGTTCAACTATTAACAAATTCACAATTAAATTAAAAATTTTAAGCTAAAGAAATAGTTACCTAATAGAATATATGTTGCTTTTAAAAACATCTCTCATGGATCCCATTTTGGACTGAATGCTCGTTTGAGCTTGTGGGCTCTGATACCATATTAATATTCATGGGCTTTCATCTCAAAATCAATTGGAAATGAGAGGAGTAGCTCATGTCTATTATAAACCATTGTTAAGTCTCTTCTTTTATCAATGTGGGATCCTTAACATAGTCTATGAATTTTTACCTTTTTCAAGTTGATTGATTACTACGGCATATTTGGATGTCAAATCCAACTTGTAAAAACAAAATTAGGAGAAAAACTTATTATTCTATTGAATCAATTGACTGTGACACATTAATAAAAAAAGGAAAAAAAGGACTATTGACCAAATTGGCTACGCATTTATTTATACATCCAATAGTTATTGTTGAAAAACAGTGAAATTAAGCAATTTGGTTGATTCCTTACCTACCTCTTTGTCGTTGTCACATCTCAAATTTGTGTATTGAAATGTTAATTTAATTAAAATAAAGTTACTGAATTGTCATTTTCACATTTATAAAACAGTCAAAAGTTGCATAATCAAATAGGATTTTAGTACTTTTTGGCCAATTTTTCATAAGCAATTAAAAGGATTTATATAGGTGTGTGTGCGTAATTGGTTCTTGAGATAATAAAATCGACATTTTCATGCTAAATAGGGAGAAAAATAACAGAGGACTATGAATTGTGAAAAAGGTTTAACACATGATTGAAGTGAATTTTCTGACTTTTTTTTAAAAATAAAAGTAGTTGTGTTACCGATTAAAGTTCCATGCAGCGGAGTTAACTTTTGGAGAGTCAATTGCTCTTTAGCTTAAAAGAAAAAAAGGAACACAATATAAGCAAAACTCAACGAGTTAAAACATCTATCTAGAACAAAAAAGTCGTGACTTTGAATCTCTACTCCTACGTATTGTAATAAAAAGAAAAAAAAACTTTTTAAACATTTAAAAAAATTTTAAATACAAATTTTAAAATTTTATTATATATTTTTTATTTTGTTGATGTGATGCCCATGCAAAGAGAATGAATACATAAATGAACCGGTACTACATATGAATGAGAGAGATCATGCGATTATTAAAACATGGTTAAGAAAGACTTAAAAAGAATTGATATAGTTACTATATATACTTAACAATAACAATGTGCACGTTCCTTTTTTATGGCTCAATTATAAAAATTATAAAGTATGCGAGAGAGGATAAAACATGCTGTTGACAGATAAATTTTGACCAATTATTAAATATCACGTAACAAATTTAAAATTTTATTTAAGATCAATCACAAATTTACAAGTGTAATAATTTTATAATCGACGAATGAAATTATGCTACGTGTCTCTTATAGGCGTACTATCAATGAAATCAACTAATTGAATCAAAATTCATGAATAGATTGGGCCCAAGCCCATGGCCTATTAATACCATGACTCATATAAAGACCCACAAAAACCCTATCAAGCTGAAGACGCCATCAAGCTAAGTATTCAGAGCGACAAGACTTGAAGCCGAAAACTCCATCAAGCTGCAAAGCTGAAGAACTTTTCAAACCCCAAGTCAAAAACTTCAACAAGCTACAAGTCGAGAACTTTACAAGATTTGAAGCCGAAGAACTTCACAAACTGCAAAGCCGAAAGAACTTCACAAGCTACAAGCCAAAGAACTTCAACAAAGCTACAAAGTCAAAGACTTCACAAAGTCTTCGTCAAACTACAAGTCAAAGAACTTCATCAACAAGTCGAAGTCTTCAGCTTAAAGTCGAAGTCTTCAATAAGTTCAAAGCTGAAGACTTCAAAGATCCTTTGATAAGCACTACACTGAAGGCATCAATATCATTGATTCAAGAACAAACTTACAAACACTTTAATAAAAGTTTACATTTTAAGAGAATTAATTAGAAGATTATACATTAGAGATTGTAACATCCAATATACATAAATATAAACACAAATTCATTAATTTGGGTTTCTCTTCGTTGAATTTCTCGTCAAACACATGCTAAAATAGGTATCTGTTGTTATTTTTAGAAGTTTCAAAGACATTTAACTTTTTCCCTCGTTGATTCAATGCAATTTTTTTTAGTGCTAACATGAACATAACTAAGCAAGTAAAAACATCTTCTCTTACTTCGAAGTTATAGGTTCAAAATTTCTCCTACATTTGTTATACTAAAAAAAATTACCATTGGAAAAACATCAATGACGATTTTGATTAGGATATAATTTGACATTCATGTTTTCATTTTTTTAGTTAAAACTTTGTATAAAGTTTCAATATCCTCGTAGTTTGACTATTTATTCTTCTAAGCTATGCAAGGTTTTTTTTTTTT